CTAATATCACTGTAATTACTTTGAGTTTATTTTAAAAAGTATTCTCTTTGAGTTAGTGTATTGCTTAACACAATGTCGCTTAATTTGTCAAGGTCACATAGATAGGTGAGCTTTACTTTGTGTGCATATAAATCGACAGGTTCGAAAGAGTAACTTTCTTAATTTTTTTTCATACTACCAGAAGTATTGTTTTCAGTTTAAAATCTTAATATTGCTTTATTTCATAATTCTAGTTTTTTTATTTTTTAAAATAAAAATAAAACTTAATTGCATTTTACAATTTATTCATTTTTATTCTATGTTTTTTCAATTTAGATTTTTAAGAGCAATTTAGAATGAGATGTTTTTTAAAAATATTTTTTAAAGAAATGATTGGTGTAGATGGTGAATTTAATAAGGCCACATGGGCTCAACCTTAGGTAGTTCAGAGACATGTTGAAAGATACAAACACAGCAACGCAAGATTTACCATATTACACAGCCATAAGATTAAGTAGAGAACTTTAGGAAAGGAAATAGGTGACTTCCTGGAAATTAAATGCAAGCCATAGCCATTAATTTCTGATGAAGAGTGGATATGGAAACTGGCCTTTGCTGCAAACATAACAAATCATTTAAATTTTCTGAACCTAAAAATACATGGCAAGGAAAATCTAGTTTCTGATCTATATACCTATCTATAGGCTTTCAGATCCAAAATTGTCTTGTTTTTTAAAAAAAAGTACAGACACAAAACTAGACGCACTTTTAGTAGTGTAAGGTCTTCATAGCTTAATCAACAGCTAAATCCCCGCCTCATTTCTATGCAAGATCAACAAAGACCCCCAACTGCAGTTTCAGCAGCGGTTTTCTGACTTGGATTCTAAGGCAGAAGAAGTGAGACTGTTTCAAAACCCATTTCAAGCAGATGAGACCAGTTGCCCAGATGAACTGCAGCTGGAGGTCATTGAGCAGCAAGCAAATGACCTCCTTAGGGACAAGTTCAATTAAAGACAGGTGGTTTTTTTTTTCAAGTTTTTGACCAAGGAAGACTTTCTTAATGCCAAAACGTTTGCATCAAAGTACCTTTCAATTTTTGGAACAACATACCCTGGGCTCCTTCGTCAGCCATGTGTCTACAAAGGAATTCATTGAGGGCCGCGAAGACATTGACTACTACTAGAGGCGTTTTCAATATATAAATAATGTGTATGTTATGCATTTTATACGTCCTGATTGTACATTTATACTGTATTATTATGTTTTATCCAGTTCAAATAATAAAACAGTCTGGGAGAGGGGTGACACCAAACTAAAAATTGTTGGAGAAGGAGAGATGGCACCAGACCTAGAGATGCTACTAAACAAACTCAATATTTCAAAATCTTGTCTTGCTTTACTAAGATTTTTTTTTGTTGCCGTAAAAAAAGCTGAAAAAAAAATAACTTAACCTCAACAAATATTTCAGAAATTTTTAGAATGAATGTTATAAAAGTTGCAAACTCAGAGAACTTGAAAATAATTTTTTAAGTTAAAGGCTACATTTCTATTTATTTTAATCAAGCCTAAGTTATAACCCCACTCATCTCATTGTTCAGTTAAAAAGCTTTTCTTCTCACGAAGATGACTACTACACCGAGATTAGATTGACGAGAGCGCCAACAACTCTGCAACACGTAGCCTCTCCAGTATTTCTATATACAGGCTACCCTTTTAATCGCAGATATAATTTAATGGAAATATTTTTAGGGGTCGGCGTGGTCGAGTCGGTAAAGCTCATGGCTGCTAAACCGAAAAGTCTCGAGTTCGAACTGTGACCTACTTAGGCCCAGTAATGTTTTATTTTGACATTGTATAATACCTTATATGGATTGATGGTGCAACTACCGGGGATTTTCCACTGTCTTATTAAGGGTGTCTAAGATTAAGAAATTTTCCATTAAGATCTGATTGATTGATTCTGATCAGATGACCATCCCAACCAATGGCTACATGAGTTGAGGATAACCTCCCCTGTTGCATAAGTCTTTAACTGCACCGTACACTCGCAACACGTGGCAGTCTACCTTGATCAAACGGTCTATTAAGACCAGGCCGTCCATATTGTCCGGCAATAGATTCTGACCATTTGAACGTGAGAGAACTTAAGTCCTGTGTGTGCTATGCTTTCTTAAGTTGTTTTAGTCTTCTAGTATAATATTACTTGTCGCCAAGTGATTCTTGAAGCTATATCAGTGTTGTGTGACCTGTGGCTATTTTTATACAGTGTTGAAATCTGTGATAGTGTTTTTTCTTACGCTTTGTAAGTTGGGTTTTGTCATTTTATCAATTAAATATTTTATCTAGTTTAACCTTGTGTTCTGCCACAACTGTGTTCGCTTATTAAAGGTTGTATGCAGATTGGATGAGTTGTTGACTTCAATAGTATCACTAGTTTTCCCTAGACATCGAGATCGAGCCCTAGTGTGTTGTTGAGTTAGTGTTCATCCATTTAGGCTTTAAGTCATTTGCGTATAACCCCGAAAAAAGAATCCGGGGACGTTCACCATCTATCTGGCTGATAGATAGGTAAACGTTACAGAACCCTCGGGCTGATGAAGCTCCAAAAATCAAACAACTGCTGCCTTGTAGTTTGTTCTTGGTTGGACTAAAAGAAAAGCAGGCTGAAATCAGAGTCAATGGCCTCAATGGCGCATAACCAGTTGACACGTATACTTAATATTGTTGGAGGTGTGGTCGAGTAGGCAAAAGCTAATGGTTGATAAATTCGAAAAAGTCTCTAGGTCAAACCTAGTCTCACTCAGTTTTTTCCCCATTACTATGTCATATAGATATTATATTAACCTATTTATTTTACTTCCGCTTTAGGGGTACAAAGGAAAAAAAATTTCCAGGAATAGTTTGGTTTCGAACCGGTAACTTTCAGTGTGACAGGCATGTTCTCAACTGAAACCACAACGACTCACGTTGACTTGGCAGCATTTAATAATTTTGTATATCGGGTTGTCAGAAAGAACCCCCCCCCCTGTCATCCCTCTAGGCCAGGGTCAGCAACCTGCGTGGGGCGAGACGCATGGGGCTCTTGTGATGTCAAGATGCGGCTCTCCAGGCCCATGCGTAAATATTAATAATTATTTAATAAAAATTATAGTAAAGAAAAAGCCAACTGACAAATACAAATCTAGAGGTGTGCTTGAAACTGATAACAAGTTATGCGCCATATTTAACCAAGCTTTCAAAAGAATCTCATTGATGCAACTATCAGCGTTTCTTCCAGACATTTTTCTCCGGGCTGGGGGGCACTTAAAAGGGGGGAGGGGGACAAAAATTTTCGAGGGGGGGGGTCGTCACTGTTGAAAGTATATATTTTTTCTATTTAAATCCATTTCGTTCGGGGGGGGGGGGGGGCGGTATACTTTCTTCTGTGTGGCTCCGCCCCCCGCGAAGAGTTGCCTGGAAGAAACTCTGGCAAAAATTGTAAACATCATTCAATAATTATAGTTATATTATTTGACTATTAATTTTATTATTTCATCAGAGCTAGCTAAAATACTTTAATATGTTTTATGCTAAACATTTGTCTGTTTTTATATAATTAGATATTTCATATTTAAAGCTATTTATTTTATATAGAAAATCTAAATATTGAAATATAAATGTAAGGGGCTCTTTAAAACTGGGGGGAAGATTTTGTAAATTATTACTTTTGGCTCTTTTGTCTCAAAAGGTTGCCGACCCCTGGTCTAGGCTAGTTGACACAACGTTCTGCGCATGCGTGCTGACCCACAAAAGGCTCCAGTTCCCATTGCAGGCATATTTTCTGCTCATGTTTGTCGAGACCAGAGGTCTATAAGTTGAGCATAGGATAGTTGTCAGTATTAAAGGTAGGGATGATTGTAGTTACTAGTGTCCGATTATAGACTTCGAAAAATAGTTTTGTTAGATTGCTAGTAGTATTGTAATCTCGTCTAGTTTTATGAATAGAAATTAGGGTTAGCCGTATGGTTACTGTTAGATATAGGGTTTGCACTGATATTAATTAGTATATTACAATATTAGCAAGGCTAATGTAGTATTTAGTTACCTACTAGTAACATTCCATTCCATTTAAAAAGGGGATACTGTTATCGGACATTGGTATAATACTAGCTAATCCGCAAGAAGAAAAAAAAATAAACCGGGAGTGATCCCCCCCCAGTGGCGTAGCGAGGTCGGGTGTCACCCGGTGCGGCACTTAATGGTGTCACCCCCCAGAGGCGTAGCGACCCTTTCCGGGGACAAACTTTCAAATTTTCAATTTGCACCCCCCTCCCCTCTAATAATTTTTCTCTATATATTTTGCTATTTTTTGCCTTGGTGTCACCCCCCCCCCCTAAATTATGTCACGCGGTGCGGTCCGCACCCCCGCCCCCCCCCCCTCGCTACGCCTCTGATCCCCCCTAAATTTTCTCGAATATTCGTTTATAACACTACAGGGGGATGGCAACTCGGAATATACACATGATTTTTAATCCATTTTTAATTACTTAAACTTTTAAAAAATTAAACAGAATCTCGTAGAAAAAGAATTTGCGCATCAAGTGAACGACAAACAATATGTGTATAATAATGCGGGATATTATCAGTGTTTCTTCCAGACTTATTTCTCCGGGTGTGCATTCGAAATTTTCGGGGGTGGGGCGGACTAAAGTTTCCGGGGGTGGCGGACACTGTTAAAAGTATATATATTTTCTAAATAAATTCCATTTCGTTTGGGGGGGGGGGGGGGAGGGGGATGTAGACATTTTTTTGTGGGGGTCTCTGCTCCACCGAAGAGATGCCTGGAAGAAACACTGAATATTATTGGTACTTTATAAATTCATCTGCATTTTTTGAGACGTCGGAAATACCGTTAATTATTCAAAATTTGTTAGAAGGCAGACACATACACACAGACAGACATACGGACAAAATTGCAAAACTATGTGTTTCCTACTCAGGAAGGTGTAAATTTGTAAAATTGGGGATAAGAACTGTTAGCTACGGAGTTGAGTGCTGTATTCAGGGAGGGTTCTGTGATGTTGTGGTTCACCTTTTCAGGCGGCCTCGGGGGTAGAGGGGGGGGGGTATTATGTGGGGTTGGTTTAAGTTGCCGTTTATACTGGATGGGGGGTAAAGTTTGCTCCTCCTGTTTTAAATATGTCTGGTGTGGTATACGGTGACGCGTGTGTTTGATGTGCGATGAGTGATTGGGTGTGGATCATGGGGTTATAGAGGTGAGCTTTTCTTTATGCTATGTGGTGTCTGTCTGTCTGTCTGTCCCATCCCAGTCCTCTCTGTTTTGTCTATTCTGCCCTGCCGTGTCTTCTCCTGTCTGCCAATCTGTCTATCTATCAATCATATATATATATATATATATATATATATATATATATATATATATATATATATATATATATATATGTATATATATATATGTATATATATATGTATATATATATATATATATATATATATATATATATATATATATATATATATATATATATATATATATATATATATATATATATATATATATATATATATATATATAACATGTATTACAGTAATTTATAAGCGTCATATCAAGCAAACAACATGCCGTTCAAGAATATATTAAATGTGTGGAAAATCACTTTATTTCTACAAGTTTTAGGTAAGGTTTGTCTTTTTAAAAAGTAAGTTGGAAAATGAAATGGTATGCTGGCAAATCTACAGCTGCAGATTGCATTGTTAACTCTAATGTTAAATTTGCTTTTAAAATTTTTTAGTTCGTTTGTGAAAAATCATAATCATATGGCCTAGCAATACTATCGCCTACTACAAATTAAGTATAATCTGATTTGCATTTTATGCTATTATTAGCGTGCCCGCCCCCACGCGTTGCCGCGGGGTTAGAAGAAAATCCGAGGATAGCCCGTGGCAAATCACACCCTGCCGATTCGCTGGCGGACGCGCTCGATTCAATTTAGTGAACGGTCTATAATACTACTTTTTATATGTATATACTTCTTATGTATATTCTATTACACTGTTTAAAACGAACGTATGCACAATAGTTCAAGGAATAGCTCTGGGCGCCAGATACCACACTACTGGGGCGTCGGCGAAGGCGCCTAATTCAGTTTAGTGCAAGACTATAACGCCCCATTTTATCCATAGTCACACTGTTTAAAACGAAAGTAGAAGCCAGAGCACTCATGGAATAACCTAGGGCGCCAAAATGCAAAATGTCGGGGCGCCGCCCATGCGAAACGGATATTTTTTTTTCTACAGGAACCTCCCCAGGAGTATTCTATCAACTTCCCAAAGTTTCACGGCGATGTGATGAAAGGTGTAGTAATGCATACAAACAGACATACAGACCTACACACACACACACACACACACACATTGCTTTTTATATTTTTAAATTAAGAGTTAAAGTTTGTTAATATAAGGATTAACGTTAGAACTTGGGTTTTGTTAAAAGTTGGAGCTACTATAAACGTAGGTTGTATTGTGAGAAGTAAGGTTAACTATGAGTTTTGATAAACTATTTAAACATAATGCAAATATTGGGTTCATTTCGACCTACGTACTGATGAAAAACAAAACAAATGCATTTGTTTTTAATTAAAACATTTTTTATAGGTTTATGTCTGACCATAATTGGATACTCCACTAACTGCATTGGCAAGTTCGGGAACGAGGCGCACATTGGATTATGGAAAGCGTGTGACACCAAAAACAGTTGCTATGATTTTCAGGTTGTGCTCCCAAGGGTAAAACCCGACATAGGCAGCTTAGGTAACGTTTTCTACAACAACCTTGCACTATTTAGACTTAGATAAATAACACACACCTTCAGAACATTTAAAATGATATACATTAGTGGTAATTTTAAAACAATATAAGAATTGAAGCTTAAAATGTCAGTTGTTTAATTTATCATTACGAAACTAGCTTATCGATTCCCATACAATGATTCATTACACATCATGATATTGCGAGAAAAGCTTTAAGCTGGAATCCCCAATGGAAAAGAAAAGAAGGCCGGTAAAGGAAAACCTGGAGAAGCAGTGTTTCTTCCAGAATATTTTCGGGGGGAGGGGGGTCTACATTTTGATGTGGGGGGGGGTGCACTAGTAAAAGTATAAGTTTACAGTATAAATTCGGGGGGGGGGGGGGGGTAGACATTCTTCGGGGGCCGGGGGGGGGGGGGGGGATGGGGGACGACGACAGAGCCCCTCCGAAGAGACGCCTGTGGAAAAGGACAGTAAAAGATGGCCGCTCAAAACGGACTCCGGCGGAGAGTTGCGGCTGCAGCCCTTTTACTCCCCAGGGCAGAAAAATAAATAAAGTAAAAAGTTCCTAAATTAGATCTATTGTAAATAGCCTCAGGTGAAATGTTTTAAACAAATGTCAATAATTTAACGCTAATAGGGCTTGTAAGTCTACGGTCTCGAAATCTACTAGCTTGCAAGTAAGAGAACGAGAAGTTGTGACCTACTTACAAGCCCTATTGTCACTAAGAAAAAAACGGAATGGTTCCTTCTTTCTCCACAGCCTGGGCAGATGCTAGCCGAGGTCTGTTGGGCTCAAGTCTGATATGCTTGGCGCTCGTCATTTTGCTGACCATTACGACACTTGTGAGCCAAGGATACAACAAGTTTATGGCTGTTAGCACGATTTGCCTTATCGCTTTGTCCGGTAAGTTACTTTTTTTCTATATAGATTGTCAATTATTTACGTGTACCAAGCTATACATCTACATTAGAGACTGTAATAGACTATATATATATATATATATATATATATATATATATATATATATATATATATAAACTTTTTTTTTCTTTCTCCTGTAGTTTCACTTGGATACCTTGGGATCGGGATTGCAGCTGGAAGTATAGGCAGATCGTTCAGAGGGATATACAGGGGCGACTACACTATTGGATGGTCCTTCTATCTGATCGTCGTCGGTCTAATGTTGTTTAAAGTGGCGCGGATTTTTAATTTTCTCGCTGCTAGGAGGTCCGCGCAGTCGGTCACTACCCCAGTAGTACCCAAAGATGACGACGTGAATTTGATAACTGCCTAGATGATAATTCTTAATATTTTTTTTTCTGTTTGAGTTTAGTTTTGTTTCAGTAATTAATTTTCTTTTTAAGATAATAATCCAAATTGCTTTGTACAATTTCATATTTGATTTGTTGTTTGTTACTTATTTTAAATACGTTATAAAACTTGAAATAACATTTTTAAAAAAATATTGCAAAATGTTTGGCAGTATGCCTTTGAGAAACGGGCTTAATTGTATTTTGATTAATTGGTCTCGTTTATTCCAAAATAACCGTAACAAGAGTCAGAACTATCGTTATTCCTTTACTTCTATTTAGTTATTGTCGCCCTTAATTGACGATCGTCAAAATATTCACAAAAAGTCCCCCTCCGCTTGTCTAAATGACGTTTTTTTAAAAAAAAAATCCATGTCAACAATCAATAATGATCGAACACAACTCGTCAAACTCAGCCCACTGTGTGAGCCATTACACAGCCCATAAAAACTTCTAGATGTTGTCACATTTACGCTACTCACCGACCACTCTCCTCTTATTGTGTTAAAAGATGAGTAGCAGCAACAGCTCTAAGTTGACCAGATGGTCTTTGAATGTGCAGGACCATACTTTTAACATACGCGTCCTTGAGCCCACATAAACCTAATGGGTACCTGATTTAAGTTAGGGAAAGTAAAGGCAGCTGACTACATCATCCCTTCACATGCCCAGGTAAAGAAGCAAATGAACTCCACTTCATTTGCCCAATAGGCCGCTAGGTCTAAAATAGAACTTTCCATACTAGGCAGATTTCCTTCCAGGCATCATTTCGGTGGAGGGGGGGGGGGAGGAAAGCCCCCCTAAAGAAAGTCTACCGAATGAAACAGCGGATACAGCATCGAGTTCTAGAGATGTGTGTAGAAAACAGAAGGAACACCGTTTGTCACTCAGTGTCCTACAGTATCAGATCAAGCACAAAACACCGTCACAAAGTTTTATTTTCTTTCTTTCATTCAAACAAAATTTGGATCTTTTCCAGTTAAGCCCCGTTACTAATGCAAAAAGTGCTTTTTTTTTGCCAAATACAATTTAATGCACGCACGCAACCATAACCTATTTAAGATTTCTAAACATTTAAATAATTTAAAAAACCAAACATAAGAACAACTTCTTATCCGTCTCTAAGGTAACGGTTAGGGTTAAAAACTAAATATATACATTTCACAATTTTTTATTATCTCTTCTGGGAGGCGGGGGGGGGGGGGGGTAGCTTTTTGCCAGGGTGTTCCTAGAAAAGAAAAATTAAACCCGCCCTGTACAGAAAAACGTAGGCGGATAATGTCCTCCCGGATTTCCCCACACATGCTGTTGTTCACGTGAGCATGCGCAATGTGCTATTTCGTGTTCGCGCCACTGCAGTAATGCACGCGTGCATTAAATTTTAGCTGGAAACGGGGGCGGGGCGTAAATTTTTGCCCATGATTTAATCGCGGAGATCCCGTTTTGATGCATGCCAACAGTAGTAAACGAGGGCCTGGCGTCTTACGTTTGTGCTCGCTACTAAACAAAGGTCTTTATGGGTATTAAAACATTGTGAATAAAACTAAAACTTGGACATTTTATCATTTTATTCAAGAAATTCCTTATAATAAAGAAACGGCTTTCCTGCAAGTATCTAGAATATATATACAAAGTGAATTAACTATTTAAACAAATCAGACTTCTTTAGTAAAACTAGCCATTTCCCATATATATATATATATATATATATATATATATATATATATATATATATATATATATATATATATATATATACGATGTGTGACGGAGGAGGGGGGGGGGGCGGAGGTAAAAATCGTCCAAAAAAGCGTGACGTCATTTATAGATGTCCCCTTGCTCTCCAGAATTATATCTTATAAAGTCTTTAAAAAAATTCATTTACAACTAAAAAAAAGCTCCATAAAAACGAAGCCAAAACTGCATTAACGAAATTATTTACATCAACATGTTAATATAAAAGTAAGTAATTGATTAGCTCTAACGATAATGATAAAATGACACTGCCATTCGAATCCCCATTCTATAATAATCTAAATGCAAAAACATTCTGTCTTCTAAAACGACCCATCTAAATCTCAGTTGTCTCGGTGTTTAGCACGACCTATTTATGTGAACTGCACTCATGATAACTTTTTATTTTTAGACACGACCGGCCTTGACTGTACAGCGTCGGTCATTGGCCGGAAAATTCAGTTGTCAGGCATTGGCATAAATATTAATCCAAATTTTTTTTTGTCTTTTTTTTTTCTTTCTGAAAAAAAAAAAGTTGTTTTGTAGTCAGTGTTTCTTCCAGACTTTTTTCTTAGGGGGGGGGGGGGGCACTTGAAATTTTCGCGGGTGGGGGGGGGGGCGGTAGACTTTCTTCGGGGGGTGGGGGGTGGCGGACACTGTTAAAAGTATATATATTTTTATATAAATTATATAAATTTCATTACGTTCGTGGGGGGGGGGGGGGTGGCGGTAGACTTTTTCCGGGGGGGGGGGGGGGGGGGGCTCTGCCGAAGAGATGCCTGGAAGAAACTCTGATTGTAGTGAAATATTAAACCTATTGTTGAAAATCCATTTACCTATAGACCTATAAAATGGAACTGTAGTGGGAATTGCCGGTAAAAGCTGTGTCTAGAATGATCTAGAACGCAACTCAGGGATGTAACTGACAGATCAGTGATAGAATAAACACTCGGGGAACTTCTCGGTCGCTTAACACTGCGAAAATGATAAGAGAAAAAAAATCTAGCATAGCATCCAAACGCAATCTTGAGCGTTGAATGATACTCAGGCCGGACACTTAGCGTGCACCGAACCGACCCTCGGCGTAGCATACGCTGCTATTAAGTTATTTGGCCACACACTCAGGAAGCCTGTATCAAGCATAACAAGACAGGCCCTCACCTGGAATCCACAAGGCAGTAGGAGGAGAGGCAGACCAAGAAAGACCTGGAGACGTGACCTGGAAGAAGACACCAAGAAGATTTGATACACCTGGGGACAGTTGGAGAGACTAGCCAAGGACAGAGACGCATGGAAAGCTCTTGTCAGCGGCCTATGTCCCAGAAGGGACGACAGTCAAACCTAACCTAACCTTTCCTAACTTTTCAGTAATTCATAATTTGTGAATTCGACACTACCAATGATTTGACTGCAAATTTTTAGCGCAATTTCCATTCTGGAGAATTGCGATTATTAACTCGTCATTTCTGGGAATGGATGGATGGATGGATGGATGGATGGATGGATGGATGGATGGATGTCCGCAGCTTTAAGTCGTATCTCCTCCTCAACGAAGCAATATCTAGGACTAGTTCCAAAGCAAATATGTTAAGCAAGTTCCAAGGATGATGTGGGCCAAAAAAATTCCCGGAATTCCTTCCTGGATTTCCCGGAAAAGCCAAAAAAACCTCGAAAAAATGCAGTTTTTGCTCCATATTTCTGGCAACCAGACCACTTAGCGACTTGAAACATTTACCAATCGATTCCTGCCATAATTTAGAACAATATTGCCAAAGAAAGTTTTTCAAAAATATCCTTTCGTTTGGTCACAAATTTTAAATTATTTAAACTGAGCATCTTGTAGGCCTAGGATATTTTAAACTGAGCATCGTGTAGGCCTACTAGAAGAAGCGAAGCGGTGAAGTTCCAAACCAAGCACACCGGCTCAGGCAGTCGCTAGTGAGAGGCAACGTCTACTTGACGCATGTTAATTAAGGAAATTGCGCTTAATTTGTCACTAGACTTTTTATTAACTTGTTTTATCAGTAGCTCGTGAAGGACGATTACTCCCCCCCACCGCCCCCATTAAAGCAGCCGTCCGTGACGACAGTTCACAGACAGCAATGAAAAGATCAAACGGAACTTGCGTGTAACAGTGAACGTGTGGGGTTGTAAAGGACCGTGATCGAAATAGAACAAAGGTGTTGTGTCGACAGTGGTACTGCTAAATACGTGTGTCTACCAGTGTTTCCTACATACTTTTTTTCCCGGGGGAGGGGGGGGGTGGGGGGGGGGGGCGGACACTGTTAAAAGTATATATTTTCTATATAAATTTCATTTCGTTCGGGGGGGGGTAGACTTTTTCCGGGGGGGGGGGATACCTAGAAGAAACTCTGGTGTCTACTCCTGTCGAGAACCGTGAAACACGCCACCAAACTCAATGGTTTTCTTCGCTAGACTGCTAACCCGAAAATCTCTAGTTCGAATCCCGGTAAAAGTCAGTATAACGTCACTGTGTCCACCCAGTTAAGATAAGTAAAAAAAAAAAGCTGGGCGTAGTGCTGACCACACTATCCCTTCATATACCGAGGTCACAGAAACAAGTGAACTCTACTTCACTTGGTCCTTTGATTGTCAGGTTTGGAATGGAACTCTACTTTTACCAAGTTTTTTCATCTTTTCGTACTACTAGCAACATTCTACGAAAGACTTCAGTCGCGTCTGTGGTTTATGCTTTAAGTATTTCTGCAGTTATACTTTCTGCACCTGCTGCCTTTTCTGTTTTCATATTTTGTTCGACTTGTTGCAATTCTGATAATTGCATGGCTCCAGCGTTGATGTCCAGTTCTTTTGGCTTGATATTATATCATTGTGTTCAGGGCCGGCGCTACCTATAAGGCGAACTAGGCGGACGCCTAGGGCGCTGGCCGTAGGGGGGGGGGGGGGCGCCAAAATGGGTTGGAAAAACAAATTGAAAGTTTGAGGGGGGAGGGGGGTTGCAAATCGAAACTTTGGGGGGGGGGGGATGCAAATCAAAAGTTTGTCCCAGGGGGCACGAAAAAAATTGCGGGGGGGGGGGGGGGGGGGAAGCGCTTTTAATAAGTTTTGCCTAGGGCGCTAAATAACCTGGCGCCTGGTAATAAATAACCAACACCTGATTGTATTGTGCTGGTCTTAATCTGTTTTGTAGGTCTTTAATATATTCCTTAAACCTGGCGAGTTTTTCTTTTTATTTCCTATTCTCTCCTGCCCATTTTCGCCCCTTTAAAGTCCCATTTTTTCTATTTTTAAAGTTGCTTGCTAGTCATTTAATTATATTGTAAATGGTCTTTGTGTAATTTTTGAGGTTTGCATTTTATTTCCACATTCTAGATCAGCTGTTACTTTCAGCTTTCTTTTTTTTTTGCTTTGTTTAATTAATGTAAGGACGCAGTTAAGGGCCATACTTGGTAATCGAGTTGCCAAATCGTCATCTAAATGTTAATATAGTTAATCCACAAGGCATGACAATTACAATAAATTTAATTATAACTACACAATTCAGGTTTATTACTTATCGTTGTCAGTTATTCTACCATGTAGAAAATTCAGAGATTATGCCAGAGGCGTAGCGACCTTCCCGGCGCCCGGGGACAAACTTTTCGATTTGCACCCCCTCCTCAAGATTTCGATTTGCACCCCCCCTCAAGATTCCGATTTGCACCCCCCCCCTCAAACTGTCGATTTGCACCCCCCTCAAGATTTCGATTTGCACCCCCCCCTCAAACTTTCGGTTTGCACACCTCTCAACATTTCAATTTACATTTCCAACCCATTTTGGCGCCCCCTAAGGTCGGCGCCGGGGACATGTGTCGTCGTCCCCACCCCCCCTCGCTATGCTACTGTATTATGCACATTGTTGGATTATGGGAAGCACGTGAGGCCATAAACAGCTGTTATGATTTCGAGGTGACTACTATCAATAAAGAGCCACACCTAATTAGTGCAGGTAACATTGTGTAAATATTAATATATACATAATTAACGTCTCTATATTGGTTAATCCATGGAACTATAAGGCGGTGGGCAATGCAGAGAAATCACAGCACGGGTTATAATCCTCTTATATCTTAGTTTTAATTTTTGTTTCTTTCTCTTAGCCTAGTTTTTAAAATTATATTTAATTTTTTTTATAAAACGTAAAGTGTATCGCCCTTACAGCTGTTTAAAGCTGATCTTTTGGCTTCATTAAAAAAAAATAATTACATTTTATAAAAGTACATTATTCTGCTTCTTTTTAAAAATCTTAATTGTAATTTTGTCATGTGCGGAATATAAAGGATATATTAAGAATTCTAGAACGGTATTTTGACAAATGTTGACGTTTTTTACCACCGTTAGAAGCCGGGAAAATTCCCATGTGTGTGTGTGTGTGTGTGTGTATGTGCGTGTGTGTGTGCGTGTGTGTGTGAATAAGTATTATGTAAAAAGGTAGTTTTTCTTCTCAACTTTTAATTGATTTCCGGTAACCGAATGTACATATTTAATGTACATCCCGTTTCTCAAAAGCCTGTAACTTGAGTGCCGTTTCAGTTTGGTGAAAAAAACATTTCAAATATAGGCCAGCGTGTAAGAGAGCGTACACATTTCTAGCAACTTTTGAATGATTTCCGGAACAAGAAGTGGTACTTTAGTTTTTCCCTTAAAAACACGCCAACTTGAGTTCTGTTTCAGTTAGGTGGACAAGATTTTATATAAGTATAAAATCTTATATTTCAATTACTTCATTCGATGTTTCTCCTATTTAGATTTTGAAGAGTTTTTAATTTAGCCTGAAATGTCTTGTTTGGTGTCGATATCTTGACTGAGATATTTTGTCCTTTAAAATTCTACATTACCCTTAAAACAGCTACAAACATACACGCTATATTCTGAATTAGTTTTCGGACGACACTTTAAAAAGGGTTAACGTATACAACAGCGCATCACCATAACACACCCACTCTCATCGTATCCTGTATCACTCCGCCATTCTTGTCCCACTCACCCAGGTCTAGCCAGTTATATTTGCGCAGGTCTTGTCAGTTATACTGTTATACTTGTGAGAGTGAGAGGAGATATGTTTATTCCATGTGGAGATTTTTATTGTAGCAATTTATTACTTCGGAATTTGTTAATGCTATTTAAAAACGTCGCCTAGGAGACACAGGTAAATATGTGAGCTAGGATAATTATGGATAATTAGACATAATTAAAATATTATAATTAATCTAAAAATTCAACTTTAAATTAAGGATATTTAGGTACTCGATATTATCATTTTTTTACATCTTTAATTAAATCAGCCGACATAAATCGTCGGGATACGTGCACTTTATTTATATATTAAAAATGTTATTGCTAATGCTTTTTTTAAAATAATCTAAGGTACACAAAAGTTAGTCTTCAACACAATCATAAAAACTATTTTGAATCTCAAGGAAAACTGCGTTTTTATTATTTTTAGTCTATTTAAAAAAAAATTGAAGCAAATATATTAAGTAAGCCAAATGATAATTAATTATTTTAGTTTATAAAAACTTCATATCTGAAAAGTAAATATTCAAAAAAAGTTTTAACCCGAAATTAGTTTTTAAGGAAGTCAGCAAGCAACATGAGACTGTATTCACACAAAGTCCAAAGTGGACTGGATGCATTCCGCGTTTCTAACTTTATATCATGCGTATTATGTAAACGAGGGACACAGCCAGTTTACAATAGATGGATGGTTTCAGTGTCTCTTCCAGACTTTTTTCTCCGGGGGGGGGGGGGGGCACTTGAAATTTTCGGGGGGGGGGGGGGGGGAGGGTCAACTAGTAAAAGTGTATGTTTAGATCTCGTTCGGGGGGGGGGGGGCGGTAGACTTTCTTCGGGGGGGGGGGGGGGCTGGAAGAAAATCTGGATGATTTGATATCCAAGTAGCGACATCTTTTTGTACTGACGCTTGAAAGGAGGTTAGAATTTACTGTACAATAATAATTTGTGGTAAACTGCTATTTTCGAAAAATTTCCTGCTTGCAAAAATAATGCAAGTACTACATAAAGAATCACAGAATATATGCATTCATGCACATTCACATATTCAAATATACACATACTCATATCCATACCCATAACTATCACCATACCCCCCACACTCTAACTCTTACCCGTAGCCATACACGTAAGCATACACATTAATAAACGAATGTGCTAAAATGTTGAGCATCAATAGTTGCTAAGGGAAACAACACAGTTTATTAGCTTTGGCTTAATCATCCTAGCCTGGTTATATCCCCCTTACGGAGATAGAAATAAACAAGTTAATAAAAAGTCTAGTGACAATTTAAGCGCAATTTCCTTATGTTAATAAGTAAATCATCCTATAAAAATAAACTCCTACACGATGCTCAGTTTAAAATATCATCTTAGGCCTACAAGATGCTCAGTTTAAATAATTTAAATTTTTTTTTGTGACCGAACGAAAGGATACTTTTGAAAACTTTCTTCGGCAATATTGTTCTAAATTATGGCAGGAATCGATTGGTAAATGTTTCAAGTCGCTAAGTGGTCTGGTTGCCGAGATATGGAGCAAAAACTGCATTTGTTCGAGGTTTTTTGGCTTTTCCGGGAAATCCAGGAAGGAATTCCGGGAATTTTTTTGGCCTATGTTCATTCTCGGAACTTGCTTAACATATTTGCTTTTGGAACTAGTCCTCGATATTGCTTCGTTGAGGAGGAGATACGACTTAAAGCTGCGGACACACATCCATACATCGGACACACATCCAGAAATGACGAGTTAATAATCGCAATTGTCCAGTATGGAAATTGCGCTAAAAATATATTAAAAAATAGGGGGGGGGGGGTGGGTGTAGTCGGCTAAAATATAACTTCATACTTTGAAATGGGGAGATATGTCTTGGGACTAGGAGGAGTTTTGATGATTTGATGACGATATGTATCGATAAGGGAAGGGTGGTGGTGGTGGTTGTTAGGCCGGTTTGTAAACAAAGCCATTCGTTAAAAAAGAAAATGAAAACGTATTGGAAGAACTATACATTTTTTTGTTACGTTTATTCGGAGTAAAAGGGAGAAATATTATGAACGAAATCACTTCACAAACTCTAACCCATTCTCCCACACCCCAAACCACACAACACCACAACCATACCTCACAACAGACAGCATACCGAACAAAAACCAACAACATACAACCCCACACCCTACACCCAATTCCCCTAAACTCACCACCCCATACCCTGACCCGCAACAACTAGCCATTAAATTACCCAAGGATCCACACACAATCGTACACCATACACACCATTTCTTTTTACCCCACACCAACACACACATACATCACACAAACGGAGTAGACCAAACTCCACCCCAACATACACATACATCACACATACGGAGTAGACCAAACCCCACACCAACATACACATACATCGCAGATACGTTAGACCAAACACCACCCCAACACACACATTCATCACACATACGTGTAGACAAAACCACACCCCAACACACACATACTTCACACATGTACACCAAACCACACCCCAACACACACATACTTCACACATGTACACCAAACCACACCCCAACACACACATACTTCACACATGTACACAAAACCACACCCCAACACACACATACATCACACAAACGGAGTAGATCCAAAGCCCACCCCACCCCAACACACATACATCACACATACGTGAACACCAAACCTCACACCAACACACATATAATTATAAATTAATACCATTTTTATACACACACACGACCTCACTCACACACATGTATAATAGCATAATACTTTCTTACATTAAGAAGATTTGATAAACTATCCATATAAAATACACCAGTATGCCGATAATGAATACATTAATTGTGTGGTTGGTCAATATCTTTCTAGACCTTGTAGGCAGTTTTTTCTTAAAGCTTTATACTTGTTGATAATACATTCACTGTTGTTTAAATTGACAGACTGTTGCTGTTTATAGACTAAGCTAAATTTAGGTCAATGACTCTGGTACATGTGTAATACAACGTGGGGGAGAGTGTAAATTAAAGCAGCGTTTTCTGGGTCGATTTTCTATTACAGATGTAAGATGCAACGTTTGAGGGTGAATAAGTAGGGAGAGCGGGGGAGCAGAGGGTGGGGGGGGGGGGGGGGGGGGGATAAGGGATAGTGAAGTGGGGCGTGCCCTTAATTTTAATTGCGACTAAATTGATTGTTCATTAACGATAATGAAGAACAACCGGCTATTGTTACTTGATGAAACTAACCGGCTATTGAAACTTTATCAAAACCGGGTTTTTTTCAAACAAGCCTAACCTAATTTAAATGTCGCCATTGTTGTAGACGCTAATTAACTTATCTCACTCAATTAGCGACCCTCCCTGCTAAAGTTTCCTTCCCTTCTCACCCAAGGTCAAATACCATATATATATATATATATATATATATATATATATATATATATATATTGTTACGTACCCCCTTCTCTAATCCTTTCGAACTAGTCAGGGGATCGTAAACAAGAAGAAGAAAAATAAGAATAAATAAAAGCCAACTTTAGTAATCTCTATTTATTCGCCACAAATCACAACACTTAAAGTTAACCCGCCACCGAAGTACAACAATCAGAAATATACACAAATAACTACAACAACTAAAGTTCTTAGTACGACTACCCTACTTGTCCCTAACTGTCTATCTAGCCTAGGTCTAGTACATGTCGTGGCTTTCCACTAGCTCACAGAGACGACCCATGTCTGTCTCCTCTAAACCTAGCTATTCGAGACGTCCGTCCGTCTCCGTGTGTGTGTCCCGAGTGTCTGTCGAGAGTGTCCGTGTGTTCCCAGTCTCCGGTCTACCCTCCTAAAGTACTCGTCCCCCGTTCTACACCGTGGGAACGATTTTAATTAAGGCCTGACCCTAGGTCATATCCGTCCATGACGGTCCACTCGGCCCCCTCCGATCTGGAAGGTTTTCCCAGCCGTAAAACACGGACCGTCACTAGCCTAGATCAAGCATCAACGGTCAGCACGTGGTGTCACCAGGTAATTTATGGGCTGTTGTCCACGTTAATAGCCGAGTCCCCCAAGACACCAGGTATGCACCGCCCACAGCGTAATCTAATCCGTGGTGTGGCCGTCAAGACCCCCAGACTCTCGCGGCCTATGCTGGCCAGTGCATTAACATGCCTAAGCATTTCATTTTAATTACCTGGCCCTCCTCGATGGGACCAAACCCAGGTAATGATCACTTGGGATCGTAACAATATATATATATATATATATATATATATATGTTTTCTGAATGTTTACTTTTTCTACACAAAACCTAACATTTGACCTTATATAAAAAAGAACACTGGCTGGGGTGAAACGGCGGTGGTTCAAATCATCACTTGTCCTTATGGTATAGAACTTGCTTAAAGCGAGAAATAAACCATCACCTACAAAATGCAGCCTATATTAGTGGTAGCTTTCATTAGCAGGGCAAAATTTCGCAGCTATTAAAGAATATATGTCCAAACTATAAGCCAAAGCTTTAAAAAAAGCAACCCTTTGTAGTACCGTTTACGTTTAAATCCGGCTTCATTTTTCTTATTGGGTGAAATAGCACAAAGACCAGTTGTTTTATGCTAACTTGCTGGTATTTGAATGTGCAGGCCTATAGCTATAACATACACCGCATTCCAGGAAACTAACAAATAGTAGCGGATGCACTCAATGGCGTCGCTGTTACGTATCACCCGGTGCAATACCTCGGAAGGTCACCCCTCTAATATATATATATATATATATATATATATATATATATATATATATATATATATATATATATATATATATATATATATATATAAGCCATATACACGGGTATGTATCGAGCCTAGTTGTACTTAAATGATTATTTAACTCTAATCCATCATTAATCCATCATTAATTTATTAATTGACCTGACAATAAGCATTTTTCTTCTGTAAAGTTAGTTCGACATATTTTGCCTCGGTGACACGCCCCGCCCCCTTAAATGTTGTCACCGGATGCGGACGCCCCCCCTCTCCACCTCCCCACACATACCCTCCCCGATCCCCTTGCGAAACACCATTGAGACCTTGCTGTGTGCTACCACAAAACACAGTGTTCAAGGGGCATAACAACCGT